TTCACACCAAGATTCAAACTTTCCTCAAGACCAATGCTGAATCTTTTTAGTGTTTCATTCTCCCCTACATAAGAGTAAACTGTTCGAATCGATGAAATTGCTTGTTCTGCTACACTCCCTGCAACTCCATAGGCATCCTTCATCTTCATTCCCTGGATCATAAGTAGCTTCCCAAATGCTACACCAGGTATAACAAAACCAAGTGAAAATGGAACTGAAGCTAATGCTAGTCTCCATGACAGGTAGAAAGCAAGAATTAAGCCAAAAATGAACGTTGACAGATGAGCAACACAATTAGGTATCTGCAACAAAGGAGAAAATGTCCGTTAATTTCAAGCATGACCGATCACTCAACTTTACCTACTATAACAATGAAATCACCTGGATTAGTAGATTTTGATTGTTATAATGGATACATTTAGTAATGTTACTTAATATGCCAAAAACTTTAATGTGATACTAAATATTTAGTGTTAGAGTGAAAAAGGTCTAGTGATCATACGTGAAACTAATTAATCCAAACTCAAAAACACAGAGTAAAAATACATATCTAACTTGAGAAAGAATAATAAAAGACCTTCTCTGCTATAGCATCTTGGATTGAATGAGCATCAGCTGAGATTGTGGAAACAACTTGAAAACTAGTACTGGAGGAACCATCTTGCTTGTCAAAGAAACTAACTTCTTGTCTAAGCACTGATTTTAAGTACTCCATCCTTATTCGACTTGTTTGTCTCTCTGCACTTCTTGTCCAGCAAATTCCCCCTACACATCATTACGTAATTTAGAACACAGTATCCGAACTCATAAGGTTCAAATCCCGTCTCTGTATAAAAGCTAAACTCATGAGATATCCTCGTTACTAACAATAAAAAAGAGTGATGCATACCAATGCAAGCAGATATACCAACTCCAATTGCAACATAGAGCAACCTGAGTGAGTACTGTTTCAAGGACATGGAAGAATTAAATTCTGTTTCATTAATATGCGAATTTTTATCTCATGAATGAATTAACTAATACATAGATTCTGAAATCAAACGTCATATAAGAAATACTGAAATTTTTACAAGGAGATTAAATTAAATACCTTGTCCACAATAGCATTAGTGAAAGAATCATCATCAATAGCAGCACCTCCATAATCATCAATAAGAGAACTAAGAATAAACATATTAAGAGGAGTCATAAGCCCATCTCCAATGCATCCTAAAGTACCAAAAAACATTAGCAACTTATCAACACCATCACCATATCTAAAAAGCCCACCTCTCTTTCCCATTTTCAAAATTATAATTAAAAAAAGTATTATCACAAGCTATATATTACAAGCTCCAAAATCATATAAATAAGAAAATTTGAACTATATCAGAATTAAAAGACAATGATATCCCTTCAAAAGTTTGTCTTTCCATGTTGTATTCTCAAATCTAGTATTTAATAAATAGGTTACTTTCTAGCTGATCAATGACTACTAGACAAGTTGTTTTAATTATTCGCATTAACTTTTATACACCGATAATATAAACAAAATATTCTTGGAATATGATCTCCTAAATTCGAATTCGCAGGGAAATCTTACATTGGAGGTAAAGTGCTTTCTAACAAAGGCAACTCTGTACCTAGGGGACTCGAACCCGGAAAATATGGTATTACTAACATAAAAGTAAGGCAAATTACCTCATATAACAAGTTAAATTCTATTTGATAGAATAAAAATTATCTACATTATGGCCTATGGGTGTAAATATAAGTTAAACTGTTTAGTGTTATTCGTGCCGGCTACTTCTGTTATATTATTTGCCACATTGTTAAAATTGGTGTAGTACTTCCAGCAAATAAAATAAAATAAAATTGGCGTATACACATGGAGACCGGAGATAAAACTTGATATTTATATATATCGTTTTTCATGAGAATCTTCACTATGATTTCAAAGAATATATGGAATGACAACTAGGCAAAAAAATAATAATATAAAAGTTTGCGAATTAAATGCATATATTATTATAGCTTGAAGACGTCAACTTTATAGATATTATTCTCGAGGTATTTGATTAGTTTGTTGACACAAACAAAGTAGGAATTAAGAAATAACAAATTTCTTAGTAGAAACAAATGGAACTTAATTATGTATGGACGTTTATATAAATTTGGGTGCACAACTAAAAACAGAAAATTGATCCTTAGCTAGTCATCTAGATAAATAACTAGTGGATCATTTAACCTTTTTGTAGCATAGGTACTAACAGATAATATTATATCAATTTTAAAAAATATAAACAAAAAATATCTAGCTTTGTGGAAGGATTACAAATTCACATGCTCCATTTTTAGCCTATGAATTTGCCTCTGCTGACAGCATCAATTTTTTTTGGCATAATACATATATTGGACCTTAAACTTGGCTTCAAATTTTAACTTTGACCTCCAACTTTCAAAGTGCACAAATAGACACTTTAACTATCCAACCTTTTAATAAATAAACATGTGTGTCTTACCTGGCAAAACGCGTGATGTGCACGCATTTTGCGTGAGTGAGAAGTAATTTTTGAGGCACACAACAGTGAAAAAAATAATGCTGAAATGACAACTCTACCCTTAATTAATTTTTTATTTTTTTTTAGTTCTAAAATGGACGTGTAAAGTGTTTAATTAGTTGGCAGCCATTGAGTGGCTCGCTAATACACGTGGCAGCGTTTGCATTTCACGCTCTTGGCTCCAAAAATCGCGTGTTTATTTATTAAAAGATTGGATAGTTAAAGTGCTTGTTTGTGCACTATGAAAGTTGGAGGTCAAAGTTAAAATTTGAAGCCAAGTTTAAGGTCCAATATATGTATTATGCCAAACTTAAATACAACCTCGATTTTGCAACATGAGTGAAATACACCTCTAAATTCTCGTCAATTTTATGAGGTTTTTTCAACACTTCTCTTGACTTTTTATTAAAAGTCTCATGCTCCTACAAGAGTTTGAGACCACTTACTATGTCATGTTGCAAATAAGGGGTGTATCTAAATTTAGTTAGTCATGTAGAGGAATGATTTGAAGGTTGTCAATGCTTCAGGAATGAAATTAATAAATTGTGTTAAATTCAGGGAGTATTTTTCGATACAAAAAAAAAAAATTAATCAAGGGTAGAGTTGTCATTTCAGCATTTTTTTCACTGTTGTGTGCCTCAAAAATTACTTCTCACTCACGCAAAATGCGTGCACATCACGCGTTTTGCCAGGTAAGACACACATGTTTATTTATTAAAAGGTTGGATAGTTAAAGTGTCTATTTTTGCACTTTGAAAGTTGGAGGTCAAAGTTAAAATTTGAAGCCAAATTTAAGGTCAAATATATGTATTATCCCTTCTTTTTTTATGTATAATCTGAAATATTTTAATCAATTGTAATATGTAACAAGTTACTGTATTTGTTAGATTACTAAAATTAGGACAATCAACTAATATTGTACACCATCTTATATTTATTGTCTATATTACTTTAAAAGTATGAAGATTTTTAGAAATGTTCATTGAACTCTTGTGTTCAGAAGATGTATGTTGAGAAAATGAAGATGTTGATTAGGTAGATGTGTATGTACATACTAGGCATGGAGGCAAAAAAAAATTCATTGTATATTTAAGGTATTTTAAAGCAATTTTATGTCTATATATTGATTTTGAACCTCCTAAATGTGAGATTAGAGGTTGAGGGGTTCAAAACTCATCTTGAGGTTCCAAGTTCAAATCTTAGCTATCAGCACTATGTCCCTTAATGAAAATCCTAGATCCGCCACTAATACTAGGAGCGATAAAAATAGGAATGAGAATATTAGGATTAGGTAAAAGTGGCTATGTGGTAGACAAGATGAGAAAAGTGAAATTGAGATAGCTTAGACATGTGAAAAGGAGACGCATATACACTCCAATGAAGAGTTGCTGAGAGATTAGATATAGTAAGCACGAGGAGAGGTAGAGGTAAGCCAAAGAAGTATTTGGGAGAGGTGATTAGGCAGAACAACGCAACTTCAGATTATCGAGGATATAGCCTTAGATAAAAGAAAGAGATAAAAATATCAAAGAAAGAGGTTCATGTTTTTTTTAGACAAATATGTGATATGTATTTACTATCAATAGCTATAGTTTGAATATAATTGCAACTCATAGTTAATTATAGTTGAGATTTTATAGCACCCCCTCCCCCCACCATCTAAAGGATCTTGTCAATTTGGTCATCAACTGCATTTGTATTCTACCAATTGTATTCTATTAAATATAGGTGAGAAATTTGTATCAAGCGAGAGATGGTGGAGACCTCGCTTCTTTCCTTTTTTAGTCTTCAATTTTATACTTAGACTCTTAGTATGCTTGAACGAGGGAGAGATACAATATTGTCTTAATTGTATTTTCAAAGATTATACAACACATGATACAAAATGTATACAACTTGATACAATTGTATTCATTGATGCACTTGATACAAAGTGAATACACAAGAAACATATACACTTGATACACTCATATCCATTGATACAATTTGTATTCGTTAATACACTTGATACAACTTGTATTCATTGACACAATTTGTATCCATTAATACACATGATACAATTTATATTCGTTAATACATTTGATATATGATGGATATACATTTGATATAATTGCTTTTGTTGATACAAGTGTATTCGTTCATACAAATCAATAGTATTCACTACTATGTCCTCTCTCCTCTCTTTCCCAAATCTCGCTTGCCTTCCTCTCTCAACACCGTTCACCTCTTCCCTCCTTTTAATATGTAGATATGAATCGTAATCAAGCAAAATAATTATAACTATACATCTCTAATTAGCTCAAACTATAATCATTTTTTATAGTTTCTCGTTTTTTTATTTCGTTAAGTATTCCATAAAAGTGGCCCAAAGTTAAATTTTAAAAAATGTGAATGTTAAGGGTGCAAAATGCAAACAACTCCATTCATAGTGAACTAGATCTTAAAGCTAGAAAAGACAAAACGACGTCGGTAGTTGTATCAGGACACACAGCAGAAAGGGCAAAAGATCAGAAGGGAAACAGAAGACTGTAGTAGTACCCTGAGCTGAGAGGACTCAAAAACTTAGGGAAGATGGTGAAAGTTGCGACGTTCTTTGCTATGTCTGTAGGAGCCTTCGCTTTCTGGCAAACCATGGACAAAATCCATGTCTGGATCGCTCTTCATCAAGATGAGAAGGTAGATTTTCAAACCCTACTTTTGTTTTCCCCTTCCTTTTAGGATGAAATAGACCTCAGAATCCTAGATTGATTCTTTTCCTTTTACGAGGAATGACCCAGAATTCTAAATGGTTTTATGTTTTTGGATTTTGGGCTTTTTCGATCTGGATCGTAATTAGTTTCTTAAAGTTTGGATTTTTCTGACTTTCAGATTTATGGTGTTTTCCGGAAAGGAATTTATGATATTATTGTGTAAAATCTACGGACACTAGAATAGCTTGAAGCATTTGCTGTTTTCGAATTGACAAAAGAAAGAAACTTTGCATGTTGTTGCTTTATATGTTGCTAGGTAGGATGTGTTTGGTATGATGGAAATTGTTTTGCTAGAAAATGTTTTCTCGGAAAACAAGTGAGTTTCCGACTTATTTTCTAGTGTTTGGTAAGTAAGCAAGAAAATATTATCCTAAGAGCATTTATATGTTATCTAGCAAAATACTATCGAGGTGGGATGTGATGGAGAGTGGGGGTTCGGGGGTGGGATGGTCAAGGGGTGGGGTTGGGGGGAATTGGGTGGGTGGGAGGAGACAATAAACTTGGAATGCCGCTTATGCAACTAGTTTTCCCTACTTACATTGGGGAAGTCATTTTCCTCATTTTTAAGGAACTTATTTTCCTAGAGAAAATGAATTCCCAACACACCCTTAGTTTCCATCTATTGTTGGGGGGTTTTGCGGAGGATACTCATAGTTTAGTTGCTTAATAAGAGCCATTGTACCTAACAATGTTTTCCCTTTCTTCTTGGGGAACTTGGATGAAAACCTCAGGAATTTGGAGATATATTTTATAGAATGTTGAACTGTTATCTTGTGCAAACTATTATGACATTTAACTTATGAGCAGAAAGAGTGAAGAACATAGACGTAGGGACATTACATTACAGGAGCAACAATGAATCAGTTTGGAACTGATTTATGCTAGTAGATCTACAACATAGGTCACACTCTTGATAAGATGATTGATGAAATTTATGTGGAAAGGAAGAATGATCAACACATGGTATTCACTGACCTTAGAAGTGCATACAAGTTGGCCCAAACACCAGGATTATTTTAACGTCCTTTGGTGGGTGCTGGAGAAAAAAGAATTCATGTAAAATATATAGATGTCATAAAGGATTTTTACGAAGTTGTCACAAGTGTGAGATTTTGTGGTAGGAGATATATGTGTACCTTAGTAATGGATGAACTAACTAATAGTGTACAAGTTGAGGTATATTGTATGTTGTTTGTAGACTATGTTGTGTTAAATGATAATCTAGTGAGCATGTCAACCAAAAGCTTGAGTTGTGGAGAAACAATCTAGAGGCTAAGGGTCTTAAGATAACTTGAAGTAAAATAAGAGATATGCACTGCAAGTTTAGCCAGCATAAGACGAGTGAAATCGAGGTGAGACTAAATGGGATTGTAATGCTTAGATGCGAACAGTTCATATATCTAAACTTGATGTTCCAAGAGAACTGTATGATGGATAATATGATGTAACACAGAATAAATAAAACATGGTTGAAAAAGGGAAGTGCCACTGAAGTATTATTTGATAGGAAGATGCCTATCGAAGTGAAAGGGAAGTCCTTTGACAGGGCTATGGAGCCAACAATATTACATGGTAATGAGCCTCTAAGATCCAACGTGTCCGTAAGGTGAGTGCCGTAGAAATGCAAATGTTTAGATGAATTTCCTTATAAAAAACAGACAATATTAAGATGGATATGCTGTTATACAAGATTAGAAATGATCAAATTTGACAGAATGTGCAAATAGCACATATAAAAAATAAGTAAGAGGAGGTTATGTGTAGGTTTGGTCGTGCCATACATAGACCTCGAGATCCATTGGTTTTGAACCCATGATGGAAAGTTGTCTAGAAAGACCTATAATTTCGTGGAATTCATACAAATGTTCAAAAGATAAGCTCAATGGAAGAGAAATATTCATACAGGCGATATCAACTAGTTGAATATAAAACTTCGTCTTGTTGGTACGCTCCCAGTAGTCCAATAGTTGCTAGGAGTCAACTTAATCTTCTTGGAGTATTTGTATGTCAGTGGAAAATGTAGAGAAATATATAGAACTGGAGAAACTCATTTATTAAATATTAAAATGAGATGAGTCTAAATAGAGTGAAATGAATAGTAAGGATTCATAGAGCCGACCCCCACTAGCTTGGAATTGGGCTTAATAGTTGCTTTTGTTGTTCTATTTAATACTAATAAATATAAATCACCCATTATTGTGTTAATCTTGTAAGCATATGCCAGAAACTTTGAATCTTGAAGAAGACTTGGCAATGTTTTTGATTTATATTTCGATGCTTGGAGAGAACTAGTATACTTACTGATGTTCCCCTTTTCTTCTCGAGGACCTCAGTAGTGAAGGTCTTGTATTATTTTGAGTAAGGAGTAGATAACAAGTAGTATTCAGCCCATACAAGTGTTTCCGCCTCTCTTGTATACCAGTACTGACTTGCACCTTCATACTTGAAAACTTGTCACTTCTCCACTTGCATGATCAAAGTACTCTAGGATGTCCCAACAAATATCTTGAAGTGCAATATCCACATATTTTCTTTCTTTGCCTTCTGACTCAAAGGTGTATCCATGTTACTAGCCTTAGTAGAAGAACCATGTTGGTGATCTGACCTCCATTTTCTTTTGGAGTCCTTTTGAAGCCGAGACTGACAATTACCTTCATAAGGCCATTGGCAGAGTTTCTTTAGGAGAAAATAGGTCATTGCAGAAATACTGACCACATCCCCAGTGAACAATTCAAAATGCTAATTAACAATCTTTATGCCGAAAATAAAAGGCAAGAAATAGGCTTTTATCCTTCCTACTCCTGGTCTATCATTGGCATAGCCACTTTAACTTTGGATCAAAGCCTATGTCAATTTGGCCAGAAGATACTACTTTTGGTGGCCAACTACATAGGACTTATAGAACGGACATCAGTTTTTCTGTTAGCCAAAGTGTTTTCAGTGATAAACGACCAAATGAATGGGTCTTGGGAGTCTTGTACTGAATGTTGTGACAAAGGTTCTTTTACTACAACATTTAGGTTTTTTTTTAAAGCCATAAGCCTGTTAGCCACAGCCCACATAAAGCGTCACTCGTGTACAACAAAATTGTCTACTTTATCAAGTTGTAGTATGCCTTTTCTTGTCTTTGTTTTTCCTGTCCTTTTTTTTCATTTTATTTTCTTTATCCTTTTTGCTTAAAATGTTGATGACTATATGAATTTGGCTCGCTGCAGCAAGAGAGAATGGAGAAGGAAGCAGAAATCAGAAGAATGAGAGCAGAGCTAATCAGAGAAAACAAAGAGCGGGAGTCTCTTGCCTAAACTGCCAAGAATTGCAAACCTAGTTGCATTCAATTCAACAATTTGTTTTTGCTGTCTTTTTGAATGTTTCTGGACCTCTGCTTCTATTTCTAATTTCCATAAAAATCATGTAATGATGGTCATGAATGTCTTCAATGTACTTAAGTTTGTATCTGTCTCAATACTCTGCTGTCAATAGCATGATTATGCTTGCACTGTTAAACATCTAGCTACTTTTAATCTGACAATAAATACCATTTTTTTTGTTTGGTTGGAGTAAATTACGGTGAATTGCTATTTATTGGTTATTCTTGCATAACCAGTGCAACTTGTACACTTTGCTCTCATGTCAATGTTTTTGCTGTTAGACAAGGCTGTTAGTTTGTGCGATTCATGTGTTTGGTTGATTCTGGAGAAAAAAGGAACTGCTAATCTTGTTTCTGCTAGTAGTGAAGTGTGGTAGTCTGCGAACACATCTATACAGCGTTGGTTACATTCAGGAATGTTTCTTTTCTTTTTCATGCTTGCTTTGCCTGTTCAAGACAAACTATAAAGATGTGTCCTTGCTTGGCTTCTACTATTTGTTGCCTGAAATCATTTTGATTAATGATCAAGAGCGACAGAATTTTTGGAAATTTGATTCTGTGAAGATGAACGTCTTCCCTTTGTTTTCTCACTCATTCTGGTTTTTAATTTCCAAGTGTTGTTGCAGATGTTAGCTTTATGGGTAACATAGATTGTCTCTGCTTGGTAATTAACTCTGCACTTGTTTTAAGGTGAAAGATATAATTATGATTTCTACCGGAGTTCAATTTTCCTGTATTTGGTGCAAAAGTTGGACTTGTGATTTAGTCCAGCAGCAGATATGAGAAGTTATTTCACTAACCAAAGCTCATGCTCCTGAATCAGCTGATTGCATATACATATCTATCTGTATACATCCCCAAACTCCTCCCATTCCCATCCCAAACAAGATGTTTCTTACCCAATCAAGGGAGTTCTATAAGCAGTTTCAAGGTAAAAATTAAGTGCACGCGGTATTTACACCAAACTAATGAGTGCAAGATGTGTCTCTCACACACATATTCATCACTTAATCATATGGTTAAATGATATGTAATAGGATTCATATAACTGACTCTAATAAGTTAGTGATTTTAGCATAGTTAATTAAATCAGTAGCATCAAGATTGTCACTACTGATTGATAATTTCTTATGAACATCCTAAAAATAGCAGAAAGTAGGCAAAAAGGAGTCTCTGTGTCATACAGGCTTGCAAAGAAATCGTGTCCAGCAGCCTCCAAATATATGCCAGTCGTCATTATCTATAAACAAACTTAGCAAAATTAACGTGGTGGCTTTATTAGATAAATCACAGCCTGATATATGTTTCACTTTTGCAAAAGTAAAGGCACTTTTCCCTTAATATCTGTTGAAGACTCTAACTGATGCAAGAATGTGATGTAGCCTTGCTCTATATAACACTTTAGCATATTAACATATGTTATCCTCATATCACTGTTTTAATAATCTTTACACTTATATTGATTATATATTTCAATTTCCCTTTTTCAGTTTTTATCAGAGTGATGGAGGCAGGGAAGATTTTCTTGATTTTGCTTTCGTTGGCTATGGTATTTGGTCTAGTTAATAGTTTGGAGTTCACTGAAAAAGACATTGCATCTGAAGAAAACTTATGGGATTTGTACCAGAAATGGAGGAGCCATCACACTGTTTCTCGAGACCTAACCGAGAAACAAAAACGTTTCAATGTGTTCAAGGTGAATGTGATGCATATTCATAATGTCAACAAGATGGACAGACCTTATAAGTTGAAACTCAACAAGTTTGCTGATATGACCAACCATGAATTCAGGAATTTTTATAGCTCTAAGATCAAACACTTTAGAATGCTTCATGGTCCCCGCCCTACTACCGGATTTATGCACGAGAAGGCTGATAATCTGCCAGCATCTGTCGATTGGAGAAAGAAAGGAGCTGTTACTGGTGTAAAGGATCAAGGAAAATGCGGTAAGTTCAACAAGCTGTAACCATCTCATCTAAAAGCTTAAGTTGTTAACGCCAAGTCTCCTTGATGCTTTGATTGAAAATATTGTTTTAGTACATGCTAGCTTATCCTCGTGTATTTGCAGGTAGCTGTTGGGCGTTTTCTACGATAGTTGGAGTTGAGGGAATAAACAAAATCAAGACAGGCAAATTAGTTTCACTGTCTGAACAAGAGCTTGTTGATTGTGAAAAGGATAACGAAGGATGCAACGGAGGACTAATGGAAAATGCATATGAATTCATCAAGAAAAATGGAGGAGTAACAACTGAGAAGATTTATCCTTACAAAGCCAGCGACAGTCGTTGTGATTCTTCAAAGGTAGATATTATGTTTTAAACAACATACTTTGTTAAATATGTCAATGTCTAGTTTCCTAGAACTGTATTGTCTAACACTTCTTTTATCACATCTAGAGGAATTCCCCCGTGGTTAATATCGATGGACATGAAATGGTACCTGAAAAGGATGAGGATGCTTTGATGAAAGCTGTTGCTAACCAACCAATATCTGTTGCTATTGATGCTAGTGGTTCCGATCTGCAATTTTACTCTGAGGTAACGCGATTTTACTTTGTCAATTGGGACATAAACTGCTTACGAAACCAATCAAGATGAACTTAATTACCATGTGACTCGTGTACAGAGGTGGATTCAGGATTTAGTTCTTACTATTGAATTCATAACACTCTTGATATGATGGATTTAAAATGTAATATTTGTTGAACTTATACTATTATATTCGCAAATATTTATGCTATGTATCGAAATTACTATGTTCAATTGAACTCAGTAAATAAAGTTGCATCATATGAATCATCTATATCCATTATGCTCTCACTCGATTACATGTGAAAATGCAGGGAGTGTTCAATGGAAATTGTGGCACAGAGCTAGACCATGGGGTAGCAGTTGTGGGCTATGGATCAACTCATGATGGTACAAAGTACTGGATAGTGAAGAACTCATGGGGGACTGAATGGGGTGAACAAGGTTATTTTCGAATGCAACGAGGCATCGATGCTGAAGAGGGACTGTGTGGCATAACCATGGAGGCTTCATATCCAGTCAAGTTATCCCCAGACAATCCCAAACCAGCCCCCTCTAAGGATGAACTCTAGATTGGCTCGAGTAACTCTGCTTTACCGCGTTGCATGCTATAGTATTTATAAAGAAACTTAGGTAAAAAGTATGACATATATGTAATCTATCAGTTATTTTGTATTGGTTTGCATGAATAAAATGCTTTTTTTCCATAGAGTTGCAAATGTTTGTAAGTTGTAGCCTTTACCTTCTGCTTTCAATCCATTTTGGCTAGAGAAGCACAACAAGATTGGCTTATGAATGGGCCACTTCTTGCTTGTACATGATAGAAAAAACTCACGTGGGGTGTGTGCGAACAAAGTTCCACATTGGTAGCTGAATAGAAAAAGAAGTTATTTATAATGGTGTGAGACAAGGAAAACCATGCAAACTTGGCCCAAAGCGAATGCTATTACAACGTGTTAACAGTATCTTTAGGTTATTTTAGCCCAACAATAAAAGTATCAGACAATGTGAAGGTTCGAAACTCAGCGATGCATAGTCTACTGAGAGCACACTTGATACCACCGAGGTAAGAAGCTCAACCATTAAAATGTGGTCATTTTATTATATTTATATGTTCATCTTTAACATATCCTATATTTATAATTATATATACAAATTTTTGACCGAGCAGTGTTGATGACACCGCTTTGATAAAATAGAAAAAAATCAATTACTTTATCCTAATTGAGTAAATGATCAAGTAATATAAATAAATATTTTTAGTAAGGAACGGACTACAAAACAAGCAAAATAAGACAAAGTGCCGTACAAAAGTGATCTTCCCAAAGCTTCCTCGTAAATCGTAATCATGAAGTGCCCCTTTTAATATGAGGTGTTATTTTGTAGTAAATCAGTTTAATTATTTATATAGTATTAAGACCACTTTTGTATGTATTTTTTTGTAAAAAAGATGCATGGGCTGGGCTCAGATGGGCAACCCGTGTAGTCTTGAATGACTCAAAAGGACCACGCCTCTCAACTTTTACCAATTGGTAGGGACCTAACTTTTTGCTTCCATATCTTTGACCATTTACCAGGTTGTTTAAAACAAAAAAAGGAAACTAATTAATTAGACCTAATTTTCTAGAAAAAAGGATTTTTTCCTATACTATATACTCTTCTTCCTCTAATTATTTCTTCTTTTCTTTTTTTTTAGTTATTTCTAATTACTTGTTTATTTTAACAAATCAAGAAAGGACGGAAAAAAAGTTTTTATTGTATTCTCAATTAATTACTTTGAAAAAGGTAGAACTTCTTGAAAATCTTAAATTTTTAATTCATTAACTTCATAATTAATAGGGGTAAAATGGTAAACTCACTATGTCAATCATTGTTTTTTTAATAGGTGTGTCAATTCAAAAGTTGACAAGTAATTAAGGACAGAGGGAGTATCAATTTTATCTATATTTTTAAATAATTATGTTTATCGTTAATTAAGAGTTTTCTGTTATATATTAAGAAAAGGGACACCATATTTAGTCTCATTTGGTTTAATTTCCATTTCTTAGTGATAACTTTGCTAAGAACATTGTAATGGTGTCCCTTTTCTTTTGTGTTTCATGGCAGGACATGTAGTGGTCGGCTGTTAGACCCGTAGTCTATTTGAGCTAACGACGTGCAGGCATGGCAAGGATTCAGGCATTGGTCTTGGCATGTATGTGGGCAAAACAGTGCAGCTGTGCAACTATGAGTTAGTGGGCAGCAAAAGAGTTCAAGGTGCCATGCAACTTGGATGTACAAGGCTTACGTGTGGGCAAAGTCATCGGCAAGACAAGGCGGTGTGTTGGCTTGACAAGGCAAGGCTGTGGACTTGACATTGGCAAGACAAAAGCTGAAATAAAACTAAGTGTTGGAAGCATGCTGAAATATTCTAAGTGTTGGAAGCAGGCTGAAATAATTCTAAGTGTTGGAAGTAAGCTGAAATATTCTAAGTGTTTAAAGTAGGCTGAAATATTCTAAGTGTTAGAATGTTGTAAATTCGGTTAAGTGTTAGAATGTATTTTAATTCGAAATATATTCTATCTCTTAGAATATTTAGTGCTGGAACTTAGTTTGAATTCTGTGAGGACAAGTGTTAGATACATGTCAAATGTAACCGTCGATGTAACTGCCGATGTAACTGCCTTGTGCAGAAATTTTACAAGGGGTGAAAATTTGTCTAAGGCAACAGAGAAAGCTCTGGCCTTAGACAAATTTGTGAAACCTTTCCTTGTATTGATTTTGATATTAATAAAGGTTGGAAAGAGTTCTCGTACGTTGGCTGTGTTGTTACTTTGATTCGTTGTCTAAAAACTAAGTTAAGTATTCCTATACTTAGCCAAATTCGTGAGAGTGTAAGACTGAAGTTTACAAAAGTTGTAGACTGCCTAGGAGTGGTGTTAAAGAAAAAAACCGACCCTCTTTCATCAGCCATGAGCATTACTTTTCCATTTTATTTTTCGCTATTTATTTCTCAATTATACCTTATAACATATGTAACTTCTAGACTATTTATTTTCTCTATTTACTATCTCATTATCTTTCTATTCATTGTTAGAAAGATTTCTTCAACTATAAATAGTGGTGGTCTTCATTTATTTTGGGTATACAAGAAAATATAGAGTGCATAAAAGTTAGTCAAAAGAAAAAACTCTAATTAGTTGAAAAATGTATATATTTTTTTAGCTTTGGACTCAACTCTTGTCCAAAGTTTGTTCACTTGTACTTTATGATTAGACTGTTGTATCCTGGAGGGGACAAGTCAAGAAAGACTACTGCTGGACCGGTGAAAAACATTTGTTGCGGCTTGAATCTCCTTAAAGAGAGTGAGATATTCGCGCCTCAGCCAGAAGATAATTTTATTTCTTCATTTTATTTTCAATTGTAATTTGTAATCTTGTAATTTCACTAACATTATGTATCCCAGATACATGCGAATCCACTTTGATACAATGTATCTAGAACAAATTACAACTAATTTTGGTCCAATGTATTTCGAGATATGTGTTTTCGGACATTATTGGATGCACTAAAATCTGGTAATCAAGATTCATAATATTACAAACTAAAGTATATTTGATACATGATACATGTATATTTGATACCTAATATGTATGTTTACATACGAATACACTGGATACATTATCCAAGTTTGTTCTCGATTTATTGTATAAGATACACTGAATAAAATTGATATCAAATACACTTGATGAGATTGATTTTAACTATAAAGATATAGGAAATATAAATAGAGAAAAGGAGAGGAACAAGAGATAGAGTTAGGCGAAAAAAGACGAGTTCAATATACACTTTGTATATAGTGATATAACTAATACTTCCTCTATCCCATTTTATGTGAGGTAGTTTGGTTCGGTACAGAGTTTAAAAAAGAAAGAATTTTTTTAAAAACTTGTGGTTCAAATTGAATGATAGAAATTTGTGTGGCTTGTAAATCATTTCATCAACGATAAAATAGACATTTTATAGTTAAATTGTTACTTAATATAGAAATGTGTCATTCTTTTTGGAACTGACTAAAAAGGAAAATAGGTCACATAAATTGGGACGAAGAGAGTAACATTTAATCCGACTAACGTGTATTTAAATTTTAAGCTAATATGTTAAAATGAACCTAAATAGACCATATCTAAAAACATATACTAAAATAGATACTTCAGCCGAAAATGGACCGACGGTCTCTTACGCCATTGACGACCATTTTCTCAAAATGTGAAAAAAAAAAAAAATTAGGATTCACCCATTTTTGGGCGAACTACAAACATTCCTATCATATTTGTAATTTTTACTATCATTTGAAATAACTACATCTTATTTCGCTAATTAATAATTTAAAATTAAATTTCAAGTCAAATACACATAGATACATGTGTAAGCGACTAAATTTTATTTCTAAAATATAGCAATCAAGAAAGAAAAATAGCAAACAAATAATAATATGTCATTATATTAATGTTGGCTGGGTTTTTTTGTCTAACCAGGAATAGGTACAAGTATAAAGAAGCAAAATACAAATTGTTTGAAGAACAAAACATAGGAAATGCCAAAAATATCCTTATCATAAAAACAAACATGATAATGAATCGAAGACATGAATGCTTATAGACTCTTCGATCCTGACATTTGTGTAATCTTCCTTTCCATTTTATCTTTATTGTATATTTTTCATCCATATTTAGCTAGAGCAGAGAATGTGATTCGCTAGTTTTTAGCGGTAATAAATAATGTACATTAATAAAGAATGCTAAGATCGCTAGTATGTAATTGTCTCTAAAATATACATATTTAGTGGCAATTGAGTAGTTGTTATTGGATTCAATATTGTTATAGGTTTTATAACCATTTACAACGATCGCTATTATGTAATTGTCACTAATAATTGTCTCTAATATATATATATATATATATATTTAGTGGCAATAAATTATTGTAGTTAATTAATTACGGCTAAAAAATATTTTTGATATAGTGATTACATACATCTAACTAGTCGTCAGTCGTAGGCTTCAATACGATTAATATTAAAAAAGAAAATTTAAAGGTTAAAAACGTTTATTAATCATTTTATTTATATTTTCTAGCCACAAACTCCTTTAAAAAGAAAGGGCCCATAACTAAATGGTCATTTTACATTGGCTATCAAAAGAATCTGCTTGTCACAGGACATGAGATGTCTCGAACTCGCAATCTTCAAATTACAAATCCAAATAATTTTCTTTTGTCCATGATTGAATACCTCAAAGTTAATCACACATGACTTTCTACAACATGTATGGACAACAAAGCAAATGAAGTACTCAATATTGTATAGACAATAAATTATAGTATTGATAGTGTAAAGATAACCTTATGAGCGAAAAACACGTCCTAATTAATGGAATAAGTTTTTGTCTCGTTATAAAATCTTTGAGTAATTCTCATCTAAGATTCTATTTTAACATCTTGCTTTTAAGGGATCGCTTAGTAACAAAATAAAAAATAAGTTATTTATGTGTATTAATTTTCGTATAATTATATTATGTTTTGATAGACAGATAGAAAATAAATTATTTATGTATAAAATTAATATAATATTTGATTGATAATTTAGAACTCAT